TGTATAATAATAATTAAATATAATTGTTTTTATTTATGCAAAAAGTTGTATATTGATATATAAGAAACTATATTACATAGTGTATAATAATATGATGCATAATACATAATAATAATAATAATAATTATAACAGTAATAATAATGTTATGAGTATCATTCTATACGAAATGAAAACCGCACGAAATTATGGACCAAAATAATATATGCTAAAAATAAATAAGATGTATACTGGGGCGAAAAGTAGCTAAATTTCTGTCACGCCAGACAGTGAACGTGTTAATAAGTAAATGTTGTTCAAATTATGTCGTGTTTGATGTCATTTTCATCAGAAAAATCTCATCAATATGTTAAGAAAAATTTCGGGATAAAAAAACGTAAAATTAAAAAAGTTGGTATTTAAATCGCTTGGTTGCCTCGACTCACGTTTCATCCTTATCTTTTATTCGCTGTCCTTGTCTACGTTCGGCAAACTACAAAGGCGGGCGCGAGGCTCGAAAACGTAGTCCCTGACTCTACAAGTGTCAGGTTTAGGTTCCTTGCGGACTGACACTTGTGGAGAATTTACCTCGGTCCGGCGGCCAAATGTGACTAAATCGTTTATTGTCATAATCCGCCAAACCGAGGCTCCGTTGCGCCCTAACGAGGTCGCAACAGATATCTATGCAAAGATTAATTGTCACTGTATCTCTTAAACTGAATTAAATTATGTAATAGAGAAAAATGTTTGTAATAAGTGTGAGAAAATCCGTCCTGAAGACGGTGAAGCGAGCATCTTGAAGCCAGGCCTAGCGCGCTCGGTGGGGATGACTCGCCCCTTTGGGTTTTTCCCTGGGCCTGTTCGCATAGGGGAGGACAGGGATCGGCAGCACGCGTCCTCACTCTTCCCGAGACCCTCAACGTATACTTTTGCGAACGACTCCCGAATAACGTAGATACAGACTTTGAGTAAAATATATTATTATGGAAACGTTTAGCTATTTTACGCCCACCCTACTCCGAGTCAGAGTACTTTCTCTGACATAAGTATTGTTAGTTTTATGTGAACTAGCACGTCATTTTATTAAAAAAGAAAAGAAGGGAATGGTATTTTGTCTTCCTGGTCTATCTACTCTACAAAGGAACCTAGTGAACCAAGAAAAAGAGAATTTTATTGATACCTCTAGTAGCTCCTGACAGAACAGCTTGTAACATTTTGCACGGACTATTCTACAGTATTTAAATAATATACGCTGCCAGTCAAAGAGAGCTCATAGTTCTAGGAATTTGAGGGGGTACACCACACTGAGGCGTTTAAAAAAAAGGAAAAGTTTGGACAATTTTTTTCATAGGTAATTACTAAATGAAAAGCTTCATTTTTCTTCAGAGGATATAAATTTGTAACTTTCAGCTTTTTTAAAAAGTAAAGACGTTACAAAATGGAGAAATTATTCTCTAATTGCGAAACCTTTTGTGCTAGAACTTCGATTGTTGGCAAGAATTGGAACGTCTAAAATACAAAATTATTTTTAATTTATAAATAAAAATGTATTATCTACAATGTAGCACAAGAGTTTTCACAAATTGCAATTATTGGCAGTTTGAAGAGGGAAACCCAGTTTGAAAAGGAAACGTTTTTAAAAAATTAAATAATTGACATATAGAAAAAATCATGTGCTGAATTGTAAGTAATATATTTTTATTTATAAATCAAAAAGAACGTTGTATCTCAAACGTTTCAATCCTTGACTGGTTTCGCAATAGCTCCTTCACTTTGTAACAGTTTTCCTATTTAAAAAAATTCGAAAGTTACAACGATATTCTCCCTTAACAAAAAGAAGCGCAACTCATGTTTTAATTAAGTACTCCAACATAATTTCAGTCGTTCTTATTTTAAATCCTATCGGAAGGCTTACTTTTCACTAAACACGAAACATGTTGGAAGCATTAAACTACAAGGGTTGCTTCAAGAGAACTGTATACATCTATAATCGAGCCGAAATTTGATCTGAAATTGACAGGGAAAGGTTGTCGCGACAAGGGGTCATTTTCCATCGAAGGAGCAACTTTTCTACGGGGGGCGATAAGTGAAATTCTCTCGCATCAGAAAGTCCCAAGAAGAGGGATGGGCGGCGATGTTGGTAGCACTCGAGAATTTTCCACGACGATACGCTTTTAACCCCCCTGCTTGGACGGCCGTGTACTTCCGCGGAAAACTTCCTGGTCGGTTGACGAGAAGAGAAACAAGGAAGGAAACGAAGGGCCTTTGCCCGGCTTGCAATTTTCTTACGCCTAATCGATTCGCTTAAGTGCACTCACCCCTTCCTCTTTGCCTTGCAACAAGTGGAAAGCGCCGGCTCTTTGGATGCCAGGAAGGAACCAGATCGGATGGGAGCGTATAAGCCTCTCGATCAGAGTGATGTCGCACGCGACCTCGCTGCCAGAATCTTCCGTCGAGCTCGAAGATCCACCCGAGGTGGCCGACCCTTCCGAGGACAGCGACTCCTCGCTCTGAAACACCAAATTTCAAATGGTTAATTTATGCAAGTTTCGGTGAATTTCGTAGTTCTCATTGTCGTACAGTTGTTACCGATCGTTGTGAATTTTATTGATACGTGATAATCGAAAAAGTATGTGGAATAATTGCAGTTTTGTAGTACCATGGTGTTTATATTGCTGGGGATTCAAACAGTGAATGCAAAATATAGTAGTAGCAGATGTGGTAATAGAATTTCGGAGAATTGTTTGATTACCCATTCAGCCCTTCCTCTTTGCCTTGCAACAAGTGGAAAGCGCCGGCTCTTTGGATGCCAGGAAGGAACCAGATCGGATGGGAGCGTATAAGCCTCTCGATCAGAGTGATGTCGCACGCGACCTCGCTGCCAGAATCTTCCGTCGAGCTCGAAGATCCACCCGAGGTGGCCGACCCTTCCGAGGACAGCGACTCCTCGCTCTGAAACACCAAATTTCAAATGGTTAATTTATGCAAGTTTCGGTGAATTTCGTAGTTCTCATTGTCGTACAGTTGTTACCGATCGTTGTGAATTTTATTGATACGTGATAATCGAAAAAGTATGTGAAATAATTGCAGTTTTGTAGTACCATGGTGTCTTTATTGCTGGGGATTCAAACAGTGAATGCAAAATATAGTAGTAGCAGATGTGGTAATAGTATTTCGGAGAATTGTTTGATTACCCATTCAGAGTTCTTACAAGAATTTTGTAGCAGCTACTGTTTGTAGAACCAATAATTTCCAAGTTAGTAGTGTTAACTATATTACTATTTTCATTGACATTTCAGGGGGTATTCTGGTTTCGAATGCCACCTTTCAAGCAATTTTTCGAATTTTTTTTCAAAAGAACCGTTAAACTTTTTGCATTAGGATTTTGCACCTACATTTCTAAAATACATAATATATTTTGTTGAAGTAAAAACAATAAAAATTACGCGAGTTATAGTTTGTTTTATAGAGAGTGCTTTACAAAAAGTGTGTTGACTGTTTACACGATTTCGGGCCTTCTGCTGCTCTAAAATAAAAAAATGAGGAAGAATCATAATCAGTATAAATCTAGCTACGGTCTGAACCGAAATAAAATAAAAATATTGGTTATTTACAAAGTGGCAGCATTTTGAATTTAGATTACCGATTTTTTTCATATTTTGCCATCTTTAAACATAAGAGAGGTGTAACATTCGTTCATATTCCTGAATTTTACGGAACTTTTATTTTAGCCCTCGTTACCTAGAAATCGCCTTTTTTGACTTACACCACTTTAGCATTAAACGGCTGATATAGTCATTTCTAATGGTAATATAGCATTACTAACAATAAGTAGCGTGGTAGTAATAGTAGCAGTAAATGTATTTAGAAGTACTTCTAGCTGAAATTCAGAGGATTTTACAAATAAGAGTCGTAGAGAAACCATTGAAGATTTGGATATGAAGTTACTATTGTAAGCGAAAGTGTACTCTATTAACAGTGTTTTATATAGTATAATTACTCGCATACATTTATTAGAGTACTAATACTTTTTATCCACGACTATATTAAAACACAGTATTTTCAAACACATTGAATAAAGCAAATAAAACGAAGTCATAAAAGAATTTTCCCTAAAATCACAGCAGAGCGGGTGCGTGTCCACCCATCCTCTGAAAAGCTCCAACGAATGCAGCTTGACTTCGAAGATCGATCGACCAAAAACTTTCACATCATCAAGCTACCCCTTCACCGAAACAATACCAATCTCCCCCATATCTGGTATGAACGAAACACAGTAAAAGGGTGTAATTACCCATTCTGAAAGGTACAAATTGTCCTTTCGAGCTCGCGATGCATTCTCCGCGCGTAATTGCCATTTTACGGTTTCATCGCGAATATTTCCCTTGAAAAACCGGGGAAAAGCAAGGAGAACCCGGTCGGGGGGAGGATTCGCTTATTTCGACGATAATCGTCGCCGGAGACAAAGAGGACAATTAAAAAGCACGCGGCCAGGGGAAGAGCATTCCGGAAGTGGAAGAATAAAACGAAAGGAACTCGGTAGGCAGATGGAAAAAGTCGGCGGAACGATTAAACGACGAGGAAATAAAACGTTGGCCGGGCATTGGCTGCAAATTGAGATAACCGGTGAACCCGTTCCCCCTCTTCCACGACGACAGTATAATGCCGCATTAGAGTGTATTGTATGACGATCAGGCAGGATTTACACCCTCTGGAATTGCGGCTTAAGGGACCGGCAGATTTCCATATTCGTGGCGTCCAGCGACTGCAAATCGCGACTTTGTCCACTCGTACGCCGATTCCTGGCTGGAATTGCCCGGTCGACGAGGTTTTATGGCAATTCAGAAGGAATATGGGGATCGAGATTAAGCAATGAACCGGAATTAACGAGTCGAAGCAGTTAGGCCAAACGTTCGAGGTATTATGTAGATCTGCTTTGTAGAATGCTTTGTACGAATAAATTATGGCATATTTGGTATGTTTTCGTTGGTATTGTATTTTAATAATTTTGTATATTATTTTTGACGATTCCGAGATATCGTAGAGGAATACGCTGCTCGTCGAAAAAATTGCAATACCTCAAAAATGAAATCGCACAAATTTGAAATTTACTGTATATATGTACAGTGGTGATGAAATTATTAGAGCCACCTGTGAGAAATTGACGGTTTTACATTATAACGATTAATTTTCAGATGAAAACCTAGTTATACTGATTTCTTATTATTTTCCTTTATGAAGCGTTCATGTTTACAAATTACAAATATACACTTGGCGACACTTTAGGCAATATTATCTGTCATGTGGACGTTATTTTGTAACGGTACTGCAAATCCAAATACAGTATATTCTCCACAAGTGTCAGTCCGCAAGGAACCTAAACCTGACACTTGTAGAGTCAGGGACTACGTTTTCGAGCCTCGCGCCTGCCTTTGTAGTTTGCCAAACGTAGACAAGGACAGTGATGAAAATGACATCAAACACGACCTAATTTGAACACCATTTACTTATTAACACGTTCACTGTCTGGCGTGACAGTGAATAAATAAATGTGTTCAAATTATATCGTGTTTGATATCATTTTCATCAGAAAAATCTCACCATGTTAAAAAAAATTTCAGATGAAAAAAAGTAAAATTAAAGAAATTATATTTTTCTATAATGACTTGTCGAGCCATGAAATCTCGTAAAAGGAACCGAGTGGTGACTGACAGCGAGCGAGATAACATAGGCGCAGCAATGACGCAGCCTAGGCGTAGGACCATCTATACTGACACTTGTAGAATCCAAACTGACTGACACTTGTAGAGAATTTACTGTACTGACTTTACTCTTACTTCTTAACTGTATTTCTTATAACTACATAAGCTAAGTTTAACTGTTTTGTGTATCTTTAGTGAACAATCGTTAATTAAAAATTATCCAGTGTGAAAACCTTGATAATGTGATTTTATTTCTGCACAAACATAAAAAACATATTTTTCCTATTGTGGCATTAAGAATTTGGTCACCCATTGTATATTGTTTAGGATGTCGAAAGGGAAATACGATTAAAATGTGATTAAAAAAGGTCTTATTTATTAAAGGCGGTCGTTTTTTCCTCAAAGTAGTCCGAAAAACATGTGATTTGGAGATTTGTGTAACCCCAATTTCTAGGTGTCGCAATTTTTTTAGCAAGCAGTGTATGTAATATATGTATATGTAGGTAAGATACCATGGAGTAGAATTTTTGGACAAATTTTACAATTTAAATATCGTGTATTGTATATTTAACGTTAACATTAACGTTAATTTTCTCTTATTTAATATTTTGTTAGAATATTTTGTTTCCATATGTTATAGTTTTTGTTAAATACCTATTTTATAATAATTCACGGTAAGAAAATACGGTTTACAGTAAGCACTTATGGTAAATAAGCTACATATTACATATATTATACTTTTACGGATTTGTTTGTAAGTTACATAGCACTTATACAGTAAGCGAGTAAGTATAGTAAGGATTTACGATAAGTAAACAAGTTTTACAGTAACCACTGTCTCTTTTAAGAGCCTGCTCGGTAATCTTGCGAACAATTACTCCACAATCTTTTGACGAGTAAAAACTGTTACTAAATTTTGACTTTCAGTTCAACTAAAAATTATTCAATAATTTAAATAAAAAGAATTTTCAAGCAAAAATTTAAATCTTCAAGCAATCTCCTGAGTGAATTATCAAGTATGATTTATTGGTTGTAATATTTTTTTCTACATAATGTTTTAAATTTAATATTCATTAGTTTCTAAATAAAAATTGATAATTTATGTAGCACCATACATAAAAATCACCCTCCTAATTCTCTTTTTCTTTATTTCTAACTCAGCTGAAGAAACTCGAAAATCTTCTTCAAAAGTAATTGCCATCGATTAACTGCATAACAGAGTGAAAATTGCAAATTCCTCACCTGGCAAACCATTTTGATCGATGCTGACCGATTGAATTCGCTTTTCTCCAATCGTCAGCTCTTCTTTTCAACTTTTTGTCACGATTCGTCAGGTCTTCGACAATGTCAATGGAAATGGGACCATCTACGTTCAATGTTACCACCCTTTTGCACTTTTTATGGGGTATTTAGGGGGATCGTGGGATTATTCGAATGGACAGTGTTGGATCAGTGGTGAGAGAGCTTTAATCGACGACTGCTTTGATTTATTTCGACGCGTGCTGGCATGATCACGAACGTTTAGCTTTCAAGTACCGTTTAGTGATTATTTATGGTGTATTCGATGGCTGTAGGGTGGTTATGGAAATGAGTATGATAGGGGATCGAGATTCCATCGTTTTTTTTTTAAAGATGTGTATTTTTCATTAATAGTAAAGAATTAGAATTAGAAATTATTAGAGAAAATATTTATCACATAATTATATTTTTCTAAATGATGAAGAATATTTTATAAAAGAGTAATTATATTTTTATTTCAAGATTATTATGGAATATTTTTATCCTTATTATTAAAGAATAATTGATAA